TGACCGGAATCGAACCTGGGACCCTTGAGTCCGCAGGCCGATGCTCCATCCACAAAGCCAAACCAGCCAGGGCTATATATATATATTTTTTATTGATTTCACAAGAGGAAGGGAGAGGGAGAGAGAGATAGGAGCATTAATGATGAGAGAGAATCATTGATCGGCTGCCTCCTGCACCCCCCACTGGGGATGGAGCCCACAACCCGGGCATGTGCCCTTGACCTGAATCGAACCCAGGACCCTTCAGTCTGCAGGCCTAGGCTCTATCCACTGAGCAAAACTGGCCAGGGCTGGCCCTGATTCTTGACTCTGAGCCTCGCCCCCAGGCCTGTGCTGCTGCCCCACACTCAAGCTGTACGCCTCCTCCAGCCTGGACTGCACCATGCGGATCTGGACCACCGAGAACCGCCTGCTGCGGTGGGCTGGGCCCTGATGCGGGAGGGAGGGAGGGAGGGCGGGTGGCCCGGCTGGGACCCTGGCGGCAGCTCATTCGCCCCCAGCAGAGTAGCGGCTGAACAGGGGAGAGAGCCTCTCACCCTCCTGCTCCCTGCACTTCCTGCTCTTTGGAGCAAGGCTGGCCTCATGCCCTGGACCCCCCTGCAGACTCCTGCAGCTGAACGGAGCGCCTCAGGCTCTGACCTTCTCCAGCAACAATGGAGACCTGGTGCTGGCCCTGGGCTCCCGCCTCTGCCTGGTATCCCACAGGCTCTACCTGCCCACAGCCTACCTGGTTAAGGTGTGCCGTGAGCTTGGGGGTGTGGGTGGGGCTGCTGCGGGCACACAAGCCTCCCAGGCCGGGCTCCAGGCTCCTTTCCCTGCTCAGAAGCTGTGCCAGAAGCCCCCCGATGGGCTCGATGACCCCCCCCTGCCGCTGACCACCCAGGAGTCGCTGACTTCATTCCAGCTGCAGAGGTTGTCCAGCCTGCATGGGGTGGCCAGCCTCAGTTCAGCCAGCAGGCCTGCTGAGCCAACCCGGAGACTCCCACCCAGCTGCCCTGGCTCAAGGTCTGGCTGTGTGCCCCCAGTGTCCCAGCACGAAGTCCCAGGGCTCCCAGGCCCCTGGGGCCACCTCAAGCCTGTCCCAGCCCTGGCACCCCCCTCCTGTCTCCTGTGCCCCCTCAGGGGCCTGGCCACCCTCCTGAATGACTGTCCCGGCCTCAGTCCAGTCCCGCTTAGTGTACCTCCTATCATCTCTGTCTACAGCTCGGCCTTGTCTTTCTTCCGCCACTGGACGGCGGTACCTCAGCAGCCGCTCTTGAAGGAGGTGAGGTGGATCCTGACCCCTCCCCACCCCAATGCCCAGCCCTGCCCCCTGCCCAGGCTTGGGCCACATCCCTGGGGCAGGCCTGGGATCCCTGCGGTTATCTGGGTAGCACATGGCAAGACTCCGGGAAGAATGGGCTGACCTCTGACCCCCTGCCCCAGGACCTGGAACCCTTATCTGCCCGGGACCAAGACCTTCAACAGCTGAGACGGGGTCAGGTGGTGCCAGCAGCCCGGGCCCCGCTCTCCTGGCAGCAGCAACTGGAGGCCTTTGACAACTACTTGTATCTGGTCTACGGCCCGGCCCTGCTGGTGGGTGGGGTGCTTCCCCGCACCAGCCCCGACCCAGCCCCTTCCTCCATCCTGGGGCTCTGACACCACCCCTTGCCCTGCCTGCACCCCCAGGGCATGCATCCCAGGACAGAGTCCCAGCAGTGGCCCAGCATGGCCATCACCGTGGAGAAGAACGGGGATGTGTCCACCCTCCCGAGCGTCACCCCCAGTCTGGCGAAGGCTGGGGTCTGCACGGACTCCCCCAAAATGCTGCCTCCACGGGACCTGGGGGCCCTGAGCCAGCGCTTCGCCCACCCTCCCCGAGTCACCCTGCCCATCCCACCCACCCACCAGCGGGAACACAGCAGGGCATCCCAGGTGAGGCCTCCCACCCCTGCCACCCCTCTGCCCTGACTGCAGGACCCTGCCCCCCACCCTGACTCCTCCCGTGCCCCAGCTGCTGGCCCACTCCTCCCTGAGCTCCTTCCTGGGCCTCAGCGTGGACCTGCAGCTGCAGTCGGAGCAGCTCCAACAGGAGAGGCCTGCGGCCCCAGAAGCACCGACTTCCCACCTGAAGCACAGGGTGAGGGGCCAGGCCGGGGGGATGCTACAAACCGCCCCCCAGGGCAGAGCTGCAGGGGGGAGCACTGAGTCCCCGCTGGGCTCTGAGCCCCTGGCCCGTCCCCAGGTCCCGCTGCTGCTGGAAAGGCGGCCCAAAGAGCTCCTCTCCGACCTCGGGGGCTTCTTTCCTGCCTCTGCTCAGCACTACAAGGTGAGACCCCCCAGGGCCCTCCCTGCAGGGGTCACCCTGATGGTGCTCCCCATCGTCTCTCTTTTCCTAAAAACAAATATTTATTGATTTCAGAGAGGAAGGGAGAGGGAGAGAGACATAGAAACATCAATGATGAGAGAATCATGGATGGGCTGCCTCCTGCACACCCCACACTGGGGACCGAGCCCACAACCCCGGGCCTGTGCCCTTGACCAGAATCGAATCCGGGATCCTTCAGTCTGCAGGCCGCTGCTCTATCCACTGAGCAACACCAGCCAGGGCTCCCCGTGATTTCTGAAGGCTCCACCTGCCTGTGTGTTGTGTGGGGGGCACCCGTTCAGCGCCTGGAGGCCTGGCAGGAAGCTGGGTGGTGGCAGGTGCTCTGCCCAGACCGCCTCTGGAATAGGGCAGAAGTCAGTCCTGCCCACCAGGCTGTCCTCTACCCCTAGAACCTGCGGAGGCCCATCCACTTCCCAGGCTGGGTCCCCAACTCCGTGGTGCTGCAGCAGATGTGGCTGCCCCAGGAGGTCAGCGGCCTGGGGAACCTCCCTCAGCTGACTGCCCGAGACTCCTCTAAGGCAAGGGGCGGGGCTGGCGCTCGCCCTGTGGGCAGGGGAGGGCTCTGCAGCAGGGGGGGAGGGGGGTGCCACTCGTGCCAGTGGCTAGTGGTGCTGTCCCCTCTGCAGCCAGCGGGCAGCCAGGAGGACCTGTGGCTGTTGCGGGGCAGACAGCCCCGCACCAGGAGCCAGATCCAGTGGTCGGATGAGGGGGACGAGGACCTGGACCTGGACCTGGAGCTGGACTGGACCTTGGACTATCCCCTCTCGTCTCCGGAGCCCTCCCAGGAACTGCTGACGTTTGAGACGGCAGTGACGCAGGGGCGCGCCCCCAGCAGGGCTTCGGTGAGTGGAGCAGAGAGGGAAGCGAGGCTTTCCGTGGTCACCACGACCCTCCACGCCGCCACCACCATCCAGAGATATGAGTTCTTGGCCAAGAGACGCATCCAGGAGACCACTGCCAGGACAGAGACCTTTCTCCGCCGCCACCAGCACCGCCTCGGGCACTCGCTCTGGGAACTGCGCTACGGGCACCTGCCCAGGTTCCTGCGTTTCTTTGTCATCCAGAACTGGTTCAAAAAGCTCTTCCC